TTGTTGGTTTTAATCATTTTTCATCATGGTTATGATATTTAGCTTCTCTTAGATGTTGTCCATGGTTTGTTGTCTTTGATCTTGGTGTTGCTCTTCTAATTATTCCTTATTGCTCTTGGTTCAATGATCTTGTCACTTTGATATGACATTACTCTTCTTGTGTGGCTATATCATACGTCTTCAATATCCACATATGGTTGATATTTTTTGCTCTTGATCAATGCTCTTCTCTTTTTGTTGTTGTCACTTTGTTATCATCAAAAATATACCTCGTATCTACAATTCATGCGCATCTTGATGCAATATCATTACTTTGATAAATGATTTACCAAGAAGCTTAGAATGGCATGTACTTTCTAAATTTGCACCATAAAAGTGAAAAGGTCGCTATAGAAATTAAACATAATGAATTGATATACAAACGAATAATAAATGTATATAGGGTGTTGCTCTAATACTTGGATAGTATTTGTTTTAAGGGTTACTTTTCTAAGGTCTTTGGTGAATATATAAGCTGGATGCATTCCAATATGTGCCATAATAATATTGCAAGCAAGGAAGCAGATGAAATGGTAATCAAACTTAATTTGTTTAGTGTGTTAATGGAATACAAGATTGGCTGCAATGTGCATTCAGAAATTCTCAAATAAAGCATCATTGAGGCCCGTCAAAAATTGGTACACCTTGTCTCTTTCTTGCTACCCTTCCATCACGAGTTTAGTAACGGGACAATCAACACTATTTGGACACACTTGATTAGGCTTGTTAGCTTCAAGTTCATCTCGTATTGCTCGTAGTTTCATGTAATAGACAGACACCACCATCACAATAGTCTATAAAATTACAAATGTCGTCTTTCTTTTGGTGAGCTACTCGGATCACATTCTATCTTATATGGTATATAATTTAAAAATAAAATAGCAAATAAATAGAAAAATAATGACCATATACAATGAAATCAACTATATACTTAATATTAATAAATTTTTAGATCGAGATACTATTTGAGTTTCACTAAAGTCAATTATCGATAGCCCACTAAAACATATTTTTGACCTTGAACACTACATTTCATGTGAAAGCTAAAACTAATGTCTTTCTGTAGTTGTCGCTTTTAGATTTGGGTTAAATTAATATTGTTGAAGTACGTAAAAGCAAATAAAATTAGCATATGACTTACAAGAAAGATTTTAGGGCTTATTGCACTCGAAATTTGAGTTAGATAATTTAGCATATAATTCCCCCATAGCTCGTGTTTAAGAAAAACGTCTCCTTTAATTTATTATGAAGTGTTTTATTTTAGTTTGTGTTTGGGGGACCCAATTAACTGTCCCAATATTAAAGGGCTCATACTACCCCCGCTGCATCAACCCCACATCATTGGTGCTGCCATATAGTTGTACAGTTAAAAAAGGTTATACAATCTCAAAAATCCAAGCCTCTTTGGAACAAGTTAGACTGATAAAAGGTATCATTTCTTGCTTCTGCCAAGCATCTAGTCAGAAGGTGAGCAATGGGAAATCCAAAGTTTTGTTCTCTGATAACGTGAATCACACGAGGGCTGTAGAAATTGCACAAGCAATGAATTTCTCCATCACTTCTGATATAGGAAAATATTTAGGGTTCCCTTTTTCATGAGAAAGTCAGAGGAAACACCTTTAACTATATTCTTCAGAAAATGGACTCTAAATTATCTAATTGTAACGGGGTCGGTCTTTCATTGGCTTGTAAAACCACTCTGTGTCAATTTGTCCTGTCTTCGATACCTATATATACTATGCAATCATGTATGATTCCTGCCAAGTATTGCGAGGATATTGAAAAAAGATATCAGGACTTCCTTTAGGGGTCCACAAATGCTTAACATCAGTTTCATGCCCTAGGTTGGCCCAAAGTATGTCAACCGAAAGATAAAGGTGGTCTGGGGCTAAGAAGGGTGAGAGAAATGAATCAAGCTTTGTTAATAAAAGCTGGCCATGCCTTGTTAACTGATAAAAATAGCTTACATGTGCAACTGTTGAGGAATGAGTATGCTGTTGGAAATGACTTGTTGCCTTCGCTCACTCCAACGAGGCAAGCTTCTAATTTGTGGATAGGGGTTGTCAGAGTATGGCCGAAGTTCATTCTTGGGTCAATGATTCAATTGGGGAATGGTGCAAACACTAGGTTCTGGGATGATACGTGGTTGTTGAATAATGAGACTGTTGTTAAGAAAGAATCGATCATCATTCTTGAGGAAATTAGCCAGTGGACCAGTTTGATAACAGAAGTAGAGGATGGAACTGGACCTTGATTAACAGCTTTGACTCGGACCAATCTTGTGCCTTGATAGCAAATATCATGCCTCCCCCTACTCTTCATGGGGAGGTCCTGGTGACTTGGGAAAACACCAGCGATGACACTTTCTCTGTTAGATCGGCTTCACCTTGTTGAAGACTCCTTCCATATTCAAGCTAACAGAATAGCTTCCATCCCCTCGAACTGGGTAGGACCAAGATGTATCCGAATTTTCCTCTGGAAGACCTTTGGTAACATGCTCCTTACTAATGTTAATAGACTTCATAGACATATGACTTCGTGTGCCCTTTGCCCGAGATGCAACATGCAACTAGAGGTGGTAATAAAGGTTGAACCCGACAGGTCAACCTGCCAAAACGGAAAAGGTTGGGTTATACATTTCAACCCACTAACCCACCTCAACCCGCCCCGCTTAGTTGTGGGTCAAAACGAGTTGGTGGTGGATCAGAGCGGGTTGGCCCACGTGTCAGTCTTTTTTTTTACTATTAGGTTATATTTTATTTGTCACTAAGCTTTTGCGATATGATTTTTTTTTATCTTAGTATTCTCCTAGAAAAATAAAGAAGAAAAACTTTATTTATGACAAAGGTTATCCATATATGGAGGTAAAAATAAGTTTCTAAAAAATGCCCGACTGAATATTAGTATACATTTAGACTTGATATTGGAAAAAAAACTAAGAGGATTGTAAAATAAAAATAAGTAATATCATAAAATTAATAAAATATTTTTTTAATTTTTAATTATTTTTTAATTTTTTAAGCGGGTTGAACCTACCACAAAACGGAGTGGGTTGGGGTTTTCAACCTATATCAAAATGCGAGGCGGGGCAGGCCAACCTGTTTTTGGCGGGTTGACGGAGGGGCGTGGCGAGCTGACTCGTTTTGCCATCTCTACATGCAACCAGATGATATTCTTCATTGTGTTAGGGACTATGATTGGAGCAAAGGTATTTGGAGGATGTTGTTAGATGATGATATTCCCACCTCATTCTTTGTTTCCGATCTTCAGGTGTGGCTAGCATCGAATCTTCAGTCTACCGAAACTTGGGTGTACTGGGAGTGGAATCAAATTTTTGGTGTCATGTGCTGGTCTTTCAGGAAAGCTAGAAACGAGTTAGTTTTTAAGAATAAGCTGACTTCATAGGATTCCTTGATTAGAAGAGTCAAGGTTTACTTCACTAATCTAAAAAATGCTTGTTTGATGTTGGACGCTCATGATTTACAAAAGATTGGTAAGGAGGAGAGACTTGTCCGTTAGGAATTTCCTCCTGAAGGTTGGGTTAAGCTTAATGTTGATGGTTCTAGCAGTGTTAAAGGAGCTACTTCTAGTTGCAGGGGTGTGATTTATGATGCAACTGGAAGGTGGATCATTGGTTTCTTCAAGAAGCTGGGTAGCGGTTCTTCGCTAAGGGCGGAGGTTTGGGGTTTGCTAATTGGGATTCAAGTAGCCTGTGATCTTAGATTCCAACAAGTTTGGATAAAAAGAGATTTCCAGGTGGCAATTAATATGGTTATAAGCCATTGTGGTAGGCAGCACCCGCTTGCTTCTCTTGTTCACCAGATCCAAAGGTTGCTTATAGAGCCTTGGAAGACTATAATCTGCCATACCTTCCGTGAAGGCAATATGGTGGCTGATGAGTTCGCCGATCTTGGGTATGACTCAACAGATTAGGATTTGCATATCTGTAATATGCCTCCTATTGAGTGTAGGGACCTTCTAAAGAGGGATCTGATGGACACCTGTAACCCAAGGATTTGTACTCTGTCTTAGCATCTTTTGTTTCCCTTTTATTCAAAAAAAATAAATAAAAATCCAAGCCAGCAAACCAGACTTGGTTTAGTTTCTTTATTAGGTTATATGGTTATACAGTTTAAAAAAAAAGTTATGCGATCTATAGTTAAAAATTTCCAATGTAGTTTGGTTGTTGGGCCAACTGGCCCATATATATTCTTTAATACAGTCATTCCATTTTTTAAAAATTAAATAAATAAGAATCAAGAAATTTAGATAATTTAGTCCTGTATCATCAATAAATTACGGAGCTAACCATTTTACCAATTAAACTGTGATTCTTTCACTAAAAAACAATTGAGTACTAATGATAGTATATAAAAAAATAGATTAGATTTTGGGCCAACGGATCACTTTATTCTAGATTCGGCCGAATTAAGTTGAGCATAGTTAATTTAAAAAAATTAAACACATTTTATTTATAAGGTATAGCTCATTTTAATAAGTCTATTTTTTCTCCCTCGTCAACAGCTTTCTTTAAGAGGAACTAAATGATACATTTTGACCCATTTTTATACGTGCTTGCTAGAATTTGGATATCAAACAATTTGGATATCAATTTTACATCAGCTAAAGATATACACTTTTTTAAAACAATGTATATGGTTATTGATTTTTAGTCTATTCATCGAACAATATATATAATTAAACTTATACACGGTTAATTAAAGTAAAGAATATGCAACCAAAATAGCACGCAAACAATAGTTTGTATTTTGGTTCTAGCTTTAAACTGGGCTTGGATCGAATCCCAAGCTAGAGGACTGGTTCAGATCCATTTTTAAAGCATTTGCGTAACAAACTAACAATAGCATCTCAAAATACGTTTGGGCCTCTATAGTGGTTTCAGCCCACGCGTTCTTTATTATTCAGATTTGTTGGTTCATCCAAAAAACGGTTCGTTTTCTTCTCCGGGTCCATCCATTTACTGGTCAATAGTCAATGTCATCGCCGGGAAGAGGCTGTGGAGAAGGAATGTTCGTTTGAGAGTTAAGACTATTCCCTCTCTTTGAAGCATTCAAACTGGCTGCTATTGACGATAGTTTCTCTATAATTTATTATATCTAGAGGGTTAGTTAGGGTTTTAATGTTACTGCCATGGATTTCCAAAAGAGGAGGGTTCAGTTGCTCGTCTTTATCACTGTCATAATTGCTCTTAGCATCACAGGTACTTCACTCATTTCCGTCTATTCGAACTATTTTATTTTTGATTTTGAAGTATTTGGCATTCATATTGTGATTAGAAGAGGGTTCGACACTTGATCCTCTGTTTCTGTATTTTTATTCAACGTTATTATGTTTCTAATTGAGGAATTTGCGTTATCAGCTTCCTTTTATTCTAGAAATTTAATTTGTTCTTTTTTCTTTTTTGTATCTGTATGCATAAGATCTAGGGTGGATGCCGATCTTCCACAATAGATCGCGAGTCTCGGCAATTTGTGTTGGTGATTTTGACCACATGATTATCAAATGTTTCACGTCTTAAACTTATGTCACTTTTTGTAAGCGGTGCTTTTTATTTAACTTCGAGACTCACTGACCTGCCTGTGGTGAACCAGAATTATGTTTTTTTTTTTTTCTATTTAATATATGACATTTATCAATAAGCCTGGTGCTGGAAGTTTCTTTTTCCCTTTTAATCAGTATACTGTTTCAAGCCACAACTGACCCAAAATTAATGCTGCTGCTTACAAGAAAAGTCTAATTCACTCTCAATTAGTCTCTTTTTTTACCTTCCCCTCCTCCTAAGAGGATGTATCAGTGTTGAATTTGGAAATCCAATGGTATAGGTTGGAAGATCTAAGTTCAAATCCCGGTGGGGGCAATAGAGGTAGGGTTTCCCGGAGAAGAACAGCTATGCCTGATTGAGGGGAAATTCTTTCTTTTAGCATTAATTGTAAGGATTGATTTAAACCTTCTAAGGTTGATTGAGGGCAAGCCTGGAAGCGGTGGTAAAGTTGCTCTTTGTGACGAGGAGATTATGGGTGGAATTTTTGTAAAGGTAAGGCTGCGTACGATCGATTCTCACCCCTGCTCTCATAAGTCGGGGAGCCTTGTGCAGGGGGGTTTTCTTACAAAAAAATATATGCATGTTTTATTATTTCTTATCTTGCATGGTTATCTTTCACTGTTAATACCTCCAATTACGCTGTCTGGTGATACAAGTTCTGCTTATGCTCATATAAGTTGCTCCTTTCAGCTGAAAAATGCAGACAGCTTATGGGGGAGGAGGGGTCATCCCAGAGTGGAAAGTTTACATTCTTAAATTGCCTTGATATGGGCTCTGGAACTTTAGCATGTGCTGTCAAGGAAGGTGTGAAGCTCTATTTTAACAATTTTAGATCTTCTCATGTTGAAAGATCAAGGCATCTTGCAATTGAGTCTGCCCTAGTTGACGCTATTACTCAGGGGATGTCCCCAACAGATTCAGCAAAACATGCGCAGAAAGAGGGTAAAAAGGCAGCAAAATTGGCTTCCCGTCAAGCCAAGCGGATTATAGGCCCCGTTATCTCTTCTGGATGGGACTTTTTCGAAGCTATTTACTATGGTGGTACTGTCACAGAAGGATTCCTTAGGGGCACTGGTACTTTGTTTGGTACTTATGGTGGAGGATTCCTTGGAGAGCAAAGGCTTGGTAGAATTGGCTATCTTGTTGGAAGTCACATGGGCAGTTGGGTTGGTGGTAGAATAGGGTTAATGATTTATGATGTCGTTAATGGAATGCAACTTTTGTTGCAATTTGTTCAAACTGGCGAAATTGATGTTCATAAAAATTCTAAAGCACCTGAAAATTCCTTTTATGACGAAACCCCTGTTTATGACAACTCTGAAGCTTCCGGTGTTTATGAATCATCTTCAATCGAAGAATCCAATGTGTATGAATCTACTGAACGTCAGAGCTATGAAACATATGAAGATTCTGAACTGCGATGAAAATTTGAAGTTCATATATTGATATTTGCTTAAATTTTAGTTGGATGATATATGTTTTTCTTCTTCAATATAGTGTATAAATCACTCTACAAGTGTTTTTGACATATATGGACATTACATAGTAAATAATTTATCTTCCGTATGTTGCATATGCTGTGTTCTCTTCGCCATCGCGGAGAGCTGTTGTCGTGTAATGCAGTGCAGTGCTAAAATCATAAACAGACGTGGAATTCTCTGCAGCCCCAACTAGGATTGACAGATTGACGGATAAGATGAAAGGGTGGGAATATTATTGGGATTGAGGCTTTATAAATGGCACATAACAATATTAGAACTTTTTGAGTGTTCAAGATCAATTTTGCAATGTGTACAAATCAATCAATTTTTGAGAGAAGTGAAAGTTTTTGGATTTTACCTTGAATAGATTTTAAGTGTGAGGCTTATTAAACTTCAAAAACATATTTATATTTACATTTTAAAAATGACTTTATTTTATTATCTAAATAAAATTAATTTTTCTAAACTTGTTTTTAAAGTATCATTCCTAAACACAAATTAATTGTTTTAGTATTAATTCTTATAAAATTAATCTTTTTAATATCTATTCTGTCAAATTACTTTTACCAAAATTTCCACCGAAAAGAATTTATTTTTTACCAAAATCTAAAAGAAATGCACCTAAGTAGTTGCTAAATGTAGAAGGTCCAATATATTGTGCCCCATGCCTTCAACCTTCAACATAGTAAAAGAAAATTGGAGCTGCAACTACTAAATCCAAAATCGCACCTCACAATGTGTTGCCCCCAAATCGCATCCCCGAGCATGTCCCATACCATCCATCTAGTGTGATTGGCGTTAGTCATTGGTCAAATGATTGATTTAGTGGTTTTATTCTACTTTTTATGGTTTAATGGCTTTGTGACTGGGTTTAAATCCGGAAAAATAACTTTTTTTCAAATATTATATAAAAAAGTAAAGCTGCCTATAAAAATTGTACTCACCCCTGGTCGGTCATGATTCATGAAGTGTTTTAATATGGCATATTGTTGGGAAAACTCGGTTCCCTCAAGCTCGGCTCAGGGGCCTTTATGCGGAAGTTAATCAACAAGATCCTGATCTCGGATCTCGGATCTCGGATCTTGGCAATACCTCGGCCTGAACTTCACCAGGTCAGGCAGCGCAGCGGAACAATCAAAAACGAAAAAATCAAAATAGGAGAGAGAGAAGAAGAACACAACCAATTTTAACGTGGGAAAATCTTCTCCAATGAAGAAGTAAAAACCCACGGGACCTAGTCCAGATCAAAAATCCACTATGAAAATAATGGTTACAAAAAATCAAATACACCAATGTGGTGGTTAACTCAACCCCTCCAACAATGGTGATAATCAAACAACCCTAGAGATGTTTCACTCAAACTCTCTCTAGAGATCTCTCAAATGCAAAGCATAAAGCCTTGCTCAAACAATCAAATAATTTTCTCAAATTTTTTCTCTCAAATCTGACCTAGCCTCCACCCTCAACTAATGAGTATATATAGAGGAGGTGGAAATTAGGGTTAGGGTTTTTAGGAAACCCCTCAAATGGGCTTGGACTTAGCATTGAAGGAGGAAGCCCAACAAATCTCCCCTTCCGACTTCAATGCGTCGGCTTCAGCATCAACCCGGCTCCTTCACAGCAGTCTTCAATTTTTCTTGTTGGAACCGGCTTCGTCATCATGTCGGACCAATTTTGGTCAGTGTGCACCTTGACGAGTTCGAGCTCTCCACCTTCCATCACATCCCGGATCCAGTGATACCTCACATCAATATGCTTAGTGCGGGAGTGATAGGTCGAATTCTTCGCAAGATGGATTGCGCTTTGATTGTCACAACCCAGCTCGTACTTGTCTTGATCATGGCCGAGTTCCATGAGGAACTTCTTCATCCACAACATCTCTTTGCTTGCCTCAGTAGCAGCAATGTACTCAGCCTCAGTTGTCGATAGTGCAACACATTTCTGAAGTCTTGATTGCCAAGAGACAGCTCCTCCGGCAAATCTCATCATGTATCCCGTCGTCGATTTCCTCGAGTCGGAATCTCCCCCTAAATCAGAATTCGAGTAGCCTTGCAACTCGGCTTTGCCTTCTCCAAATCGGAGACATAAGTCGGTCGTACCTCGGAGGTACTTGAAGATCCACTTCACTGCTTCCCAGTGCTCTTTGCCGGGGTTTGACAAATACCGGCTTACCATTCCAACAGCATACGCCAAGTCGGGTCTAGTGCAAACCATTGCATACATCAAGGTTCCGACGACGGATTGGTACGGGACCTTCATCATCTCATCTTTGTCTTCATCAGATCTCAGACACTGCTTTTGGTTCAGCTTTATGTGTCCGGCTAGGGGGGTGCTCACTGTTTTGGCTTTGTCTATGCTGAATCTCTTCAAAATCTTCTCAATATATTTCTCTTGACTCAGCCACAATAGCTTCTTCTGTCTATCTCGGATGATCTTGATTCCGAGAATCTGCTTTGCAGGGCCGAGGTCCTTCATTGCGAAGGACGAGCTCAACGCCTTTTTCAGGGCGGCTATCCTCGATTTGTCTTTCCCTACAATAAGCATGTCGTCAACATATAACAACAAAATCAGAAAATCTCCGGCCTCATACCTCTTCACAAATACGCAGTGATCGGCTTCAGTCTTCTCAAACTTATGATCAGTCATGAATGATTCAAACTTCTTGTACCACTGCCGAGGTGCTTGCTTCAAGCCATAGAGGCTCTTCTTCAACCGACATACCAAGTCTTCTTGGTCTGGAGCTTGGAATCCTTTAGGTTGCTCCATATATATTTCTTCTTCTAAATCACCGTGAAGAAATGCCATCTTCACGTCCATTTGTTCTACCTCGAGGTCCATCGAAGCCGCCATGGCTAACACGGTTCGGACCGAGGTTATTTTCACAACAGGAGAAAAAATCTCCTCAAAATCAACTCCTTTCTTCTGATTGCAGCCTTTCACTACAATCCGAGCTTTGTATCTCGGCTTTTGCCCGTTCTCTTCATTCTTAATCTTGTAGACCCATTTGTTTTTCAAAGCTCGTCTTCCTTTAGGCAACTCGGTCAGCTCATAAGTCTGATTCTCGTGCAGAGACTTCATCTCGTCTCGCATTGCCTTTTCCCATTCTTCTTTCTCTGAGCTAGTCACAGCCTCATCATAACTCTGAGGCTCACCATCTTCAGCAACAACGGTATATTCATCAGATGGGTACCTTGTAGAGGGTCTTCTTTCTCGAGTTGGATATCTCGGTTGTTCTTCATCTTGAGAACCAGTTCATCATTTTCATCCCGGATCTCATCATCAACTCGAACCTCAATGTCTTGGTCATCTTCAGCTTGTTGCTGGTCATCAATTTCTTCATTATCTTGATTTTCTCCCCCTGCTTCAGCTCAGACAGGAGGGACGAGTTCTTCACGTCTGACAGTAACCCGGACTTTGGGCTTCGAGATGTCATGAATGTTCTCATGCTTATGAAAGATCACATCTCGGCTTCTCACGATCTTCTTATTGATTGGATCCCAAAGTCGGAACCCGAACTCGGATTTTGGTGAATCGAGATAGATGCATTCTTTTGTCTTCGCATCAAGTTTTGCCCTTTTATCTTTAGGGATATGCACGAAAGCTCGGCATCCAATCACCTTCAATTGATTATAGGCCTCTTTCCGACCTGTCCAGACTTCTTCTGGAATTTCTCCTTCAAGTGGCCGTGATGGTGAGAGGTTGATCAAGTCAACAGCAGTTTTGACGGCTTCTCCCCAGAATGATTTCAGCAATCCGGCATTGGACATCATACTTCGGACCTTCTCTTCAATAGTCCTATTCATCCTCTCAGCAAGTCCATTCAATTGTGGAGTCTTGGGGGGCGTCTTCTCAAGTCGAATCCCGGCCGCTCTGCAGTATGCATCAAAAGGGCCGCAATACTCACCACCATTGTCAGATCGGACCACTTTCAATTTCTTGCCAGTCTCCCTTTCAACCATAGCATGAAATTCTTTAAAGGATTGGAGTACCTGGTCTTTAGTCTTCAACAAATATACTCACACTTTGCGGGAATGGTCATCAATAAATGAAACAATGTACCGAGCTCCTCCAAGAGATTTCTTCGACATGGAGCAAACATCAGTATGGACGAGGTCAAGAATATTCCTTCGTCTTCTTGGTTGATCCGGTCTCACAAAAGAAACCCGGTGCTGCTTTCCAGCTAGGCAGTGCGTGCAACTCTCCAACGCTTGGTCTTTCAACCCGGTCAGTAATCCTTTCTTGTTCAGGATCTGTAGCCCTTTCTCGCTCATGTGGCCGAGGCGCTTGTGCCATAACTCCAAGCTAGGTTCATCTCGAAAAGAATTGGCTTCTCCGCCAATGATCTTTCCTTGCATCACGTACAAGGAGCCTTCTTTCTTACCTCGGGCCACGACCAAGTTTCCCTTGGCCAGCTTCCATCTGACACTACCGAAGTAGTTCACTAACCCGGCATCGTCAAGCTTGCCTACCGAGATTAGGTTCAAACGCCTGTCAGGAACATGCCTTACCTCTTTCAACACAAGTCGGCATCCGACATCTGTGGTCAGAGTTACATCACCGACACCAACAATCTTGCTGGTCACTTGATTTCCCATCTTCACGACTCCAAAATCATCACCTCGATAAGAGGAAAAAAAACCTTTGTGTGGAGTAACGCGGAAGGAGGCACCAGAGTCAACAATCCAGGTGCAGTCATCATATGCAACATTCAAATAATTATCCTCACCAAGGAGGAATATCTCGGCATCCGGGTTGGCAGCCACCGCAGTGGTGCTCTTGTCTTCCCTCTTCTTGGGAATAATCTGATCCGGCTTCACAGAGCCGTTCTTCTCGTCATTTTGCAGGGTCCAGCAGTCTGGCTTCTTATGGCCTGTCTTTCCACAGTGAAAGCACTTCAACTCATATTTCGGCTTTGACCGACCTCTGGACTTGTCTCGTCTGTCACGACCTCTACCCCGGGAGTCGGATTTCCCTTTGTTCTCAGCAACGTTGGCCTCAGACGTACTCGAAGTACCTCGTTCTCTTCTCCTGGATTCTTCGCCCAGGAGGCTGTCTGTCACGACATCCATCTTCAATTTTCCATCTGGAGTCGAGTTATTCAGGGTCACCACCAGAGTATCCCAGCTTTCTAGCAGCGAGCTCAACAGCAGCAATGCCTGCAATTCTTCATCAATTTTCATATCAGCCTTTGACAGCTGATTCACAATACATTTGTAGGTGTTTAGGTGTTCAATCATGCTTATACCGTCCTTGTATTCAAGCTTAACAAGTCGGCGAACCAGGTGTGCTTTGTTCCTGGGAGTCTTCTTCTGAATCATGGACTCTAGCTTCGTCCACAACTCATACGCGTTCGTGAATTCGGACATGTGCTCAAAGAGACTTTTATCAATATATTTTCTGATCGTGGCTACCGCCTTCCGACTCAGGATCTCCCACTCCTTATCAATCTTGTTGTCTGCCGGTCTCTCATCAAGGATAATGGGCTCATGCAAATCTTTGCAGTAGAGATGATCTTCCATCATCGGTCTCCAATATGTGAAATTATCTGCGGACAACTTGAACATATCTCCATCATGAGTTATGCCACTGGTCTCCATCTCGTCTCCCTCAGAACCCGTCGAACTCGGGCTCTGATACCACTGTTGGGAAAACTCGGTTCCCTCAAGCTCGGCTCAAGGGCCTTTGTGCGGAAGTCAATCAACAAGATCCTGATCTCGGATCTCGGCAATACCTCGGCCTGAACTTCACCAGGTCAGGCAGCGCAGCGGAACAATCAAAAACGAAAAAATCAAAAGAGGAGAGAGAGAAGAAAAACACAACCAGTTTTAACGTGGGAAAACCTTCTCCAATGAAGAAGTAAAAACCCACGGGACCTAGTCCAGATAAAAAATCCACTATGAAAATAATGGTTACAAATAATCAAATACATCAATGTGGTGGTTAACTCAACCCCCAACAATGGTGATAATCAAACAACCTTAGAGATGTTTTACTCAAACTCTCTCTCTAGAGATCTCTCAAATGCAAAGCATAAAGCCTTGCTCAAACAATCAAATAATTTTCTCAAATTTGTTCTCTCAAATCTGACCTAGCCTCCACCCTCAACTAATGAATATATATATAGATGAGGTGGAAATTAGGGTTAGGGTTTTTAGGAAACCCCTCAAATGGGCTTGGACTTAGCATTGAAGGAGGAAACCCAACACATATATGCTTTCTAACCAGCAATTGAAGTAAAGAGTCAAACTCAGAATAACTCACAAGCAATTCAATTCATTTACACTTCTACGTTAACCTACGGTGTACCGAGCCTGCTTAATGATACAAATAGTACACAGATATCAACGTTTTTTTTTTTCGTCACCTCTCCCCATTAACACGGAAGTAAATTAGTCTTTGACACAATATATTAATGTTGTTACTGGCTTACTACTAATTGTTATTTTTATGTGCTGTTTGAAGTTGTGTAGATGTTACTGAAAAGGGTCAAAATGGAGCAAGTAATCGATATAACAAAAGAAAAAAGCCTCAACTCTAATTGAGGTACTAGAGTGGATGACTGTGGTATTGCATGGACTAAATGATAGAAGAATCCACAGGCAAGGAGCGAGGTGGCTCATGGCGTCGTGTGGTTGTCACACATCCTTTTGAGCAGTGATAAAGTGGATTTGACTTCATTCATAGCCATCCAACATGCTCACCATTCAATTGTGATCATAACCCTTTTTTTAATTTAAGCAATTCTCCTTATGGTGCAACCGAAAGCTAGATGAAGCTAGGGAGCATAACTACTAGAAAAATATAGTTATTTGAAACAAGATGAGTCCATTTTGACAACATCCTATAGAAACTTTCATTTTCTATTGTCCTACTACCTCACCTCTTAAAAGAGTGTCTTTGCACTATTCCCTTTAGTTCAGCGTCGAGTAGTCGCATTTGGTGCTGTTACTCTGTAACTGATAGTGGAAGTGACGAAATTGGCCAAAAAAACAACGAAATGCGGGGCCAGCAAAGTAGCTTTTGGTTCAAATCCTTCGTTGATTCACGTTACCCTTTTTCGACCCCAAATGCCTCAACTGATATCTACATCTAGGCAACCACTGGCACTCTCATTGAGACCTTCTTTCAATAAAGTGTCACAGGAAAATTTGTATTATAAGAGCATTAATGTGGAAAAATTAGGATATATATATAAGAATGAATCCTCTCACCAAACTACTTTGGCACACGTGATAAGGAGCCTGGACCCCTTAACCAGAGGTTTCGAGTTTGAGCCTGGAAATGGAAAAAAAGGATTTGGGAGAGCCGCCCCCGAAAGGGTCCGATAGTGCTCGATAGGGATTAGTCTTCGATTGCGGCCGGAGGATATCCTTGAATTTATTCAAAAAAGAAAAGAAAAAAAGAATGAATCATCTCATGTGTTAGTTAACATGACCATGTCATCTGACAGGATCATAACTAGTAAATCAAAGATAGTGATATTGCTATTTTCTATTCTAATATTTTTCCGCTCTCATTTTTCATCACCATTGACTTGTCCGTAAATAATTAGGATCTCAGATATTAAATAACACACTAGAGAATTGATTCCTTTCATATATATAGTCACAAATAACGTTATTGTATAAACTGAGCTCATAAAGAGAAGTATACTTCTCTCGCTTAAATGAAGTAATTCCATTTACTTAAACTACGAATTTTCATCTATTTTAATAAAAAATTAAAATGCACCTTTTAGTACAAAATTAACATTTTATTACAAGAAGGTCAAGATGAGGAGAAGTTATTCCATGGTCCCATATAATTTACAAATGCTCATTGAAAACAAAAGAAAAAGTAGGGATAAAATAGTCAAAAAAAAGTTTCGATTGTGAGAGAAAAAAATAACATGAGCCGGGATCTTATAAATTTTTTTCCAAAGATGAGAAAAATGTACAACCATAGGCAACTAATGAATAGCTTGAAAGAAATAAAGGGCTGTTTCCTTATTTTTTTTGTTTTGGCATTTTTTGTTTAGGGAAAACTGCTTGTCATCTTAAATGACATAAAATTATGTCATTTTAAGAGAGAGATAGACACAAATAATATTTTTTATTTAAAATTTAAATTAAAAAAATCACCCACTTTCTCCCATATGATTTTCATTTATTATGTCTATTTCTCTCCTCTAAAATGACATAACTTATGTCATTTAAAATGACTAATAATTTTAAATATATATTTTAGATATTGAAGTTGGTTTTCTAGATTTGTTTCTTTTAACTGCAGATTTTTGTGATTTTATTATACCTTTTATGATTAATTTGATTTTTTCTTTTTCAATTTGTTTTTGTTAATTCTTTCATAGTTGTTTTCATCTTCGTGATCTTGAAGGTATAAAATAGTTTTCGAGATGAAACTTTATAAACTCTTCAAGTTACAGCACTTTTTGTGTAATTCTTTAATGTAAATGTGCTTAAACATTGATAGTCTTTAAGTAGAAGCAAAATCAAAAATCATAGTTTAATTTAAATCATGAATTATAACAGGTTGGACTGAACGAAACGGATTGACCATTGGTTTGTGTCATTGGCTCATTGACAAACTTGGATGTCACTAGTAACAGCAAATGATGAACCATCACTACTGAAAAGCTTGAATGTCATTAGTGGGACCTCGTATGTATGTTTGTCGTCTTCTTGTATCTTTTTTCATGCTTTGAATTTTTCTCCCTGACATGGCATGTCTATGTGCTGGAAACTTTGGTGTTATATGTTGCGGATACTATGGAATCTATGGAATCGAAGCCATGAAACTAGAGTTATTAATAGTCAAGAGTAACTCTTGCGTAACCTGCAGTGGAAAAATTAGATGAGTTGGATCATAGTGAATGAGAAATGAGTTGTATATCGAAAAACACAGTTTAATAATGTTAAAATGGGCGAGAAGGACTTGGGCATGAAATGGTTATGTACTAGATGTTGGAGGTAATGAGTTTGATGAGAGAGAAGAGTTTAGAGGTTCTTGAAGTATGCATCAAGTTTGGAATGTTCAATAGTGTTATTTTCAGTTTATGAAACACTATAAATAATACAAGCTATTGGGCTCTAGCTCATATGAACCCAAAATAATCATACTTTTATCTATTAGACTTATATGTGTAAAGAACTTTGGGATACACCACCCCAAAAGCTAGCTCAAGAGGTGGGAGTGCTCAAGACCTTATAAAGGCCATATTAGTTGCCCATCCAATCAATGTGGGACTATATAACTCAACACTTTACACCACCCCAAAAGCTAGCTCAAGAGGTGAGAGTGTTCAAGACCTTATAAAGGCCATATTAGTTGCCCATCGAATCAATGTGGGACTATATAACTCAACACGCCCCCTCACGCAAGACCCCTTTAGGCTAGAAGCGTGGAATTGCACAGGCCCATTTTTGGTTTACCTGTTTGTGCTTTTTTTTTTTTAATTCCACTTTTTAAAGCGGGGGACGGTGAGGCTCTGATACCATGTAAAGAACCTTGAGGTCACCACCCCAAAAGCTAGCTCAAGGGGTGGGAGTGCCCAAGGCTTTATAAAGGCCATATTAGTTGCCCATCCAATCAATGTGGGACTATATATCTCAACAATATGTGAATCTACTGTTGAATTATATTATTAATATATCCAACGCTAGAAACATGTGAATGGAATATAACTTTTTGTTTCTTTTTTGTTTATTTATAAATATTGATCCATTAACCTATTAACCCACCATAAAAAGAAATAACTTAATTTTTGTTGTCAATAATATATGTTTAGCATCTCTATAAATATTGACCCTTACCATTGTCCTATGACGTACCTGTGAGTGTGTAACGTGCCTTTTCTAATTCTTGAGCCATATTCACATAGTGTCGACATGGTTTGCGAGGAAGAGTTGTTGGTCGAAAAAGTCTGCGAGCTTTATGATAAAATCTCAAGCCTAGAGACTCTCAAACCCTGTAAAAATGTCGACAAGCTTTTCACCCAACTTGTTCTCACATGCATGCTACCTAGCCCCATTGATGTTACCAAGCTCAGCACAAGTGTGCAAGAGATTAGATCCAAGCTCATAAGGCTTTGTGGTGAAGCTGAAGGCCATTTGGAGAGCCACTACTCAACCATCCTAGGTTCATACGAGAACTCACTCAATCATCTCCACATTTTCCCCTACTATTCCAATTACCTCAAGCTTGCTCTCCTTGAATTCACTATCCTTAACCAACACTGCACCCATGTCCCTAGCAAAATTGCCTTTGTGGGCTCAGGACCCCTTCCTCTTACTTCAATTGTCTTGGCCTCTAATCACCTAACCACAACTACTTTTCACAACTATGACATTGACCCTTTAGCCAATTCCAAAGCTTTAGGCTTGGTTTCCTCTCATCCTGACTTGTCAAAGCGTATGGTTTTTCACACCAATGATATCTTGGATGTGTCCAATGCTTTGAAAGACTATGATGTTGTTTTCTTGGCTGCCCTTGTGGGCATGGACATTGATGAAAAGAATAAAATCATTGATCACTTAGCTAAGTACATGGCCCCAGGAGCACTCTTGATGCTTAGGAGTGCTCATGGTGCTCGTGCTTTTCTCTATCCAGTGGTTGATCCTAGTGATCTTCGAGGTTTTGAGGTCCTCTCTGTGTTCCACCCTAAAGATGAGGTTATAAATTCAGTTGTCATAGCACGTAAGTACCCTATGCCTATGCTACAAAACAAGTGTTCTGATGAGATGCAAGCCTTCAACCCTGTCAACCTTGGAAATGTGATTGACGAATTGGTCATTGAGGAGAAGCTATAGTGAACTTTCCCTCTCAGAGCATTGTAGCTTTTTATATCTGGTGTCTCCACACATGCTTGACTTGGGGATTGTGTCTTGCGGTAGCACTTACCAAACTATAGTTAATGTTTTCATTTATGTCTGATGCGTTTGTGTACTATCTAGCATATATATATGCTTTTCGTGATGTTGTTCTTAACTTTTTTAATAAATCAAAATAGATATCGGTTGTGTTTTAAATCAAATCTCCCTCTTGAAACGCCATAACGGAATGCATGCTAGGCTATCATAGCATGTTTTATGGTTTCCTGTACTTTTCCTCATCTTTGTTCTTCATATTAAGGTAATCTATATAAATGGTGCGAAGATATATAAAATCATTAATGTAGGATTATCCATTAGCTTAAATTTTTGAGTTGAATTGGTTGTTTACTTCAGAATCTCGGTGTCACGGGTTCGATCTTACCACCCCCACTTTCTTCTATTAAATTTCTTAGCACAAGTCATCCACATTTTAAGTCCAATGGATTTTCGTGTGAGAGATGTGTTAAAAATATATAAAATCATTAATGTAGTCTCACTCATCAGCTTAAGTTTTTGGGATGAATTGATTCTTTATAAATGTATTGGTACAATATATATATATATATATATATATATATATATATATATATATGTAGGATCTTTTGACATTAGTGTCAAATTTCAAATTTGACACCTCATCTGATAGCCGTTAGATCAAAAAAGATCAACGACTCTGATTTATAAGCATCTGACACCATTGATTTTTTTTTATCTAACGGCTATCAGATGATGTGTAGAATTTAAAATTTAACACTAATGTCAACAGTGGCAGACCTATAAAATTTAATTTATGTCTTCACATTTAATGGTGGAGTTGCACCTGAATTTTTTTTCAAAGAAAATTGTGAATGCATATAAAAAACAACCAAGAAACATGAAATTGGAGCCAATTGACTTTAGGCTAGGTAACACCCGCTACTAATAGGATAACACATTAATAGGAGAAGGCATTTCTACTCGGTGAGGGTCGTCCCATTAAACATTTTTAAGGAAAAAACGGAGAAAAGAGAGAAAAAATTGCATTTTAAAAAGGTATGTCATATCTATTTCTAAGTTTCTACATCAGTTGCGTTTAAAGAAGACCAAAAAAGAACCCATTAAACGATTGAAAGAAAATAGTGTGGGCCTGCCAAAAAAAAAATATCAAAAATTACTGTATGCACTTGCAGACAAGTGCAAAAGTGTGGGTCCGCCCCTGGGTGTCAAAGGATCCTACCTCACACACACACACATATATATAGGGAAAAATAAATCTTATGTTATAGAAAAATTCTAATCTCATGTTATAGATACATTAAGTGTGGGACCCACCTATTTAAAAAAAAAAAAAGTGGCACACTTTTTTATGGTGTGTGTAGGAAAAGTTTGTTTTCTCATGCCACATAAGAAAAACAAACCTCATTTATACATAGGGTTCGCTTTTTCTGTAGTTACTGCAGATAAGTTATCTGCAGTAAGCCCAATCCGACATCATTTTGGGGCGAAAATCATGGTGTTTTTGTAATTTTAATTTATTTCAGGGTTATTATAGTCTTTATAATTATAATTATTTATTGTTTTAATTCCAAAACGACATCGTTTTGAAAGTAAATGCAAATAACTTATCTGCAGTAACTGCATAAATATTTTTCTGATATATATATATATATATACATATATATATATATATATATATATTGTTGTAAATAATATTGATTTAGTTTTTATTTAGTTTTTATTTAGTCATTTATTGTTGTATTGGGTCAAACCCTTTGTTGTATTGGGCCAAGCCCATTAGGTTAAAAGTAGGTCAAATATTCTCTATAAATAGAGAACCCTTTGTACAGATTATTTACAATTCTATAATATATTAGAATACCCTTTTTCAAGTTGGTATCAGAGCTCTCGATCTGAGGGCTTTGCTTCCGCACATATTATCTTCTTTTTTAACAAAACCCTAATTTCTTTGCCTCTTGCCGCCATTAGCCGCCACCGGAAAATTTTTTCGGGGACCTTTTGGACCAAGGGGACCATTGTTGACCTTATTTTTCCTCCGATCTATCATTCTACGCAGTGTTCCTCCGCCACAAACGACCGAAACACCTCCGACCGCCTCCAATCAGATCTGTCTTCACCGTTTGGACCACTTTCCGGCGATTTTTCAACCGCGACCACCCACAGACAGGTGCGCGCTCACCGGACGACCACACCAGAAAAATCTCAGCCGGCGAAGCCCATCCACGCGCTCTCACGCGCCGCCCCTTTCCCGGCGAGTGAATCCCACGCGCAGCTCCTTTCTCCGGCGCGTGGAGGCGCGTGCGGCCGTGTTTTTTTGGACCGGACCACCACCATTCTTCTCGTCTTCTTGTCTTCTGTCTGGATCTGTAATTATTTTTCTGATCAGAGGTCATTTGATATTCTGTTTGGTTGATTTTATCGCTGGTTGTTAACTTTTTTTGTTAAAGAATGGCCGAGCATGATAGTTCTTCGATCTTATCTGGTAAGAGCACACGTTCTATATCTCTTCTTGCACTGATTTTAAAACCTCGTGGATTTTGGATTCTGGTGCAACTGATCATATGGCTTGTCGTACTGAGTTGTTTTGTTCTTATCATCCTACTGTTGGTAGTCATACTATATCCGTAGCTGATGGATCCCATAAATCAGTTATTGGTTCTGGTAACATTCAAATTCAACCTTCCTTGTTTCTTAAAAATGTTCTTTATGTTCCTCAGCTTTCTACTAATCTTATCTCCACTCAAAAACTTACAACTGATTTGAATTGTTCTATCACATTTTTTCCTTCTCATTGTTTTATTCAGGATCTTACCACGAAGAAGACAATTGGAGTTGCTAATGAACAGGATGGGTTGTATCATCTCCTTCCAGACCATGCTAGCAAAAATCAGTTATTAATGACACGTCATCCTTCTACTGCAGAGTCTATGATTTGGCTCCATCACAAGCGTCTCGGGCATCCACCATTTAGTCTTTTGAAGTCTATGTTCCCCTCTCTGTTTCTCAATAAGTCGGTTGAGACCTTTCATTGTGATGTTTGTGAATTTGCAAAACACCATCGAGTGTCATTTCCTTCTAGCACTATTAAAAGCAGGGAACCTTTTTCTCTTATCCATTCTGATGTTTGGGGCCCTTCTAAAGTGCACAGTGTTTCAGGTGCTAGGTGGTTTGTTTCTTTTATTGACGATTGTACTCGGATAACATGGATATACTTGATGAAAGACAAGTCTGAAGTACCAGAGATATTTATTCGGTTTCATCACATGGTTGAGACTCAGTTTGGTAAGGGTATTAAAAGACTCAGATCTGATAATGGTACTGAGTACGTCAATCAACGCCTGTCACAATTCATTTCAGACAGAGGTATGATTCATGAGCTCACATGTGTTGATACCCCTCAACAAAACGGGGTTGCTGAAAGGAAAAATCGTCACCTTCTTGAAGTTGCTAGAGCATTACTTTTTCAGACATCTGTTCCTAGTTCTTATTGGGGAGAAGCAGTATTAGCTGCAACTTTTTTGATCAACCGTTTACCTTCACGGGTCCTTAACAATATCCGTCCTATTCATTCCATGACTTCCTTCTTTTCTTCTGTTCCCATATTGCAGAGCCTTCCACCAAGAGTGTTTGGATGTGTTGCCTTTGTCCATGTTCATAAACAACATCGGAGTAAGTTGGATCCTAGGGCTCTAAAGTGTGTCTTCCTTGGTTATAACCCTTATAAAAAAGGGTACAAGTGTTATCATCCACCAAGTCGGAAATTTTTTGTTTCTATGGATGTCACCTTTCAAGAATCTGAATCTTATTTCCTGGGTCCTCATCGTCAGGGGGAGAATAGTTCTTCAGAAGACTCGTCCCCTTCCTTCTTTGAGTCTGGATCAATCTTCTCTCTTCCTAGTGTGTCTGCTCCTGGTGTGTCAGAACCTTCAAATACACCTGAGATACAACCCATACCGTCTCACCAGCAACCTCAATCGTCTGAACCACTGGTAAGTCCTGAATCTCCTATTTCTTCTGAGTCTCCTGAATCTCCTGTTTCTGATTCTAATATTATTTCCTCTCATGATTTGTCTATTTCTTCTGATATCTCTAATGACTTACCCATTGCTTCTACTTCTGATGACTTACCTATTGCTCTTAGAAAAGGAAAAAGATCTTGTCACAAGAAAACTTGTTCCTCATGTCCCTCTTGTACTCAATACCCTATCTCCCACTTTGTTTCCTCTGCTAATCTTTCTGTGCAGCACAAAAGCTTTGTTTCAGCACTAGATTCTATTGCAATCCCAAAATCAGTACATGAAGCCTTGAAAGATAGGAATTGGGCTCAAGCCATGCAAGAGGAGATGAATGCTTTGGAGAAAAATAAAACGTGGGAGGTTATTGATAGACCCAACGGAAAGAAAGCAGTAGGGTGCAGATGGGTTTATGCCCTGAAATATAATTCTGATGGCACTCTTGAGAGATATAAGGCTCGATTAGTGGCCAAAGGTTACACTCAAACCTATGGCATTGATTATGAAGAAACCTTTGCTCCAGTTGCAAAGATGAATACAGTGAGAATCTTGTTATCCCTTGCTGCCCATTACAATTGGGATATAAATCAATTTGATGTGAAAAATGCTTTCCTTAATGGTGAGTTAGAAGAAGAAGTCTACATGGAAATCCCGCCTGGTTTTGATTCTGTGAAGGGGGAAAATAAAGTTTGTAGATTAAAAAAGGCCTTGTATGGATTGAGCAGTCACCTCGTGCTTGGTTTGGAAGATTTACTAAGGTTATGATGACCTTAGGATACAGACAGAGCCAAGGAGATCACACTCTTTTCTTCAAGCACTCCCAAAATGGGAAGCTTACTGTGCTCCTTGTATGTGTTGATGATATTATTATCACAGGTGATGATTTTGTGGAGAGACAGATTCTGCAAACACGGCTTGCCTCTGAGT